CAGGAGTCCGTACTTTTTTTTTTTTTTTTTTTTTTTTTTTTTTTTTTTTTTTTTTTTTTGAGATGGAGTCTCACTCTCTTGCCCAGACTGGAGTGCAGTAGTGTAATTTTGGCTCACTGCAACCTCCAACTCCTGGGTTCAAGCGATTCTCCTGCCTCAGCCTCCAATGTAGCTGGGATTACAGGTGCCTGCCACCATGCTCAGCTAATTTTTGTACTTTTAGTAGAGACAGGGTTTCACCATGTTGGTCAAGGCTGGTCTCGAACGCCTCACGTGATCTACCTGCCTCAGCCTCCCAAAGTGCTGGGATTACAGGCGTGAGCCACCGTGCCCGACCGATGGGCTCGACTTTCTATCCACATGGCACTGGGTTACAGGAAGGAGCATGCAAGAGGATGTACGAACAATAAGTCTTGGTCTATATCACACTTGCTACTGTCCAGGACTCTGGATAACTCTAGAGTCAGGATAGGAAGCTATTCCACAAGGGCTTGACACCAGGAGTCATGGTTCATTCGGGGATGCCAATGTAGTAATCTATCATCACAAGCAATTTCGAATATTCTCAGGGATTCCTACCACACATGGAAGTATCATGAAACACTTATCGATGTGTGAGTTGCTGAGTTATAAGAGGTGTATTAGTTGCTGAGTTATAAGAGGTATAAGACAGGATGCCTGTTTTTGTGGCATTTCCAGTTCAGTAGATAATACAGAACGTACTCTAAAAGAATAAAGCAACACAAGTTAGTGGGAGAAGCTTTCAAAACACAAATATGTATTTCTGCAAATTTCACTGTGGATCAATTGTTTGGAATATTTTTACATAAACAAAATGGTTGGCCCAAATACCCTGCGGCTGGGCCACAAATTTAACTCATACTACGGATACACCATGGTAGCGTTTCCCAAACATCACACGTTAATGCACTGAGTTCGCGATGGTTTTTGCCATCAACATGTACAATGAAACTTTTACTTACTTAATATTCTCCTTTGATTCAACTTATTTTTAACACTTAAATAATTTTCTTTTAAAATAATGTTTTGTTATCATTGCTATAAAAACAAAACCAGCATTATTTGCCATAAATGTGAGATAGCCATATGAGTAAATTCAGCTAAAATGGAAAATAGTGATAACATGAAATCCTGGTAAGGACGTAGAGAAACTGGATCTCTCATATGCTGCTGCTAGGAATGTAAAGTGATAGTGCCATTTGGGAAAATGGTTTCGCAGCTTCTTTTCAAAACTAAAGATAGACTTATCATACAACACACCAATTACACTCTTGGGCATTTATTCCAGAAAAAAGAGGACATTTTCTTGTAGGAACTTATACATGAATATGCATAGCAGCATTCAGAATAACCAGAAAACTGGAAATTAACCCAAATGTCCTTCAGTATGTGAATGGTTAACTGTGGTACATCTATACGGTGGAGTACTACTCAGCAATAAAAAGGAATGAACTCTTAATACATGCCGCAACGTGGAAGAACCTGAAGGAAATTAAGCACAGTGAGAAAAAGCCAGTTTCAAAGGGCTACAGACTATATGATGCCATTGATCTATTTTTGAGAGGATAAAACTTTAGAAGAGGAGAGCAGAGTTTAGGGATGAGGGAGAGAGGATGGATGTGATTATGAAAGGGTAGCACAAAGGAGTGTTGAAGTGATGGCATCGTTGAGTATCTCCAGTTCAGCGGTGGTTGTGAAAGTCTGCATATATTGATAAAAATCACATAGAACTACACATACACACACAAATGAGTGCATGTAAAACTCATAAAATCCAAGTGAGTTCTTTTTTTTCTTTTTTTTTTTTTTGAGATGGAGTCTCACTTTGTTGCCCAGGCCGGAGTGCAGTGGCGTGATCTCAGCTCACTGCAACCTCTGCCTCCCAGGTTCAAGCAATTCTCCTGCCTCAACCTCCTGAGTAGCTGAGACTAGGCATATGTCATAATACCCGGCTAATATTTGCATTTTTAGTAGGGATGGGGTTTCACCGTGTTGACTGGGCTGGTCTTGAACTCCTGACCCCAGGTGATCCGCCTGCCCCTGCCTCCCAAAGTGCTGGGATTACAGGCATGAGCCACCACACCCGGCCAAATCCAAGTAAGGTCTACGGATTGTACCAGTACCAATCTCTTTGTTTTGATAGAATACAACTGTTGTAAGATGTTAACATCGGAGGAGATTGGAAGTAGGGTGCACAGAACTTCCTTGCACATTTCCTTGCAACTCTTGTAAATCTAAAATTATTATTATTATTATTATTATTTTGAGACGGAGTTTCACTCTTGTTACCCAGGCTGGAGTGCAATGGCGCGATCTCGGCTCACCGCAACCTCCGCCTCCTGGGTTCAGGCAATTCTCCTGCCTCAGCCTTCTGAGTAGCTGGGACTACAGGCACGCGCCGCCATGCCCAGCTAATTTTTGTAGTTTTAGTAGAGACGGGGTTTCACCTTGTTGACCAAGATGGTCTCAATCTCTTGACCTCGTGATCCACCCGCCTCGGCCTCCCAAAGTGCTGGGATTATAGGCGTGAGCCACCGCGCCCGGCCCTAAAATTATTTTTTAACTTAAAAAAATTAAAACAATTTTTAAATGTCAGGTCAGCATACATCTTTTCTTTTCTTTTCTTTTTTTTTTTTTTTTGAGACAGAGTTTCACTCTTGTTGGCTGGAGTGCAATGGCATGATCTCGGCTCATCGCAACCTCCCTGCCTGGGTTCAAGTGACTCTCCTGCCTCAGCCTCCCAAGTAACTGTGATGACAGGCATGTGCCACACTCCTAGCTGATTTTGTATTTTTAGTAGCGATGGGGTTTCTCCATGTTGGTCAGGCTGGTCTTGAACTCCCGACCTCAGGTGATCTGCCCGCCTTGGATTCCCAAAGTGCTGGGATTACAGGCGTGAGCCATCGCACCTGGCCAAAAAATGTCAGCGTACTTCTTAAATTACCTAAAATCTCTTTGGTTATCACCAGTGTGGTATGAACCACGCAGTGGAAGATTGATGTATGGCTGTAATAGAACTAATCTAGGTTTAAGGAGTGAGAGCAGGGCACAACAGTGTACTGGGAAGGGTAATAACAGTAAACACTTACGCAGTGCTTACTGTGTGCCGGGCACTGTTCCAAATCTTTTCCAGACACTCATTCATTTAATCCTTATAACGACTCTGTGTGGGAGGTGTTGAGTTCTATGGAAAACAGATATTTAGGCAGAGATTTACATGCAGGCAGTGGGGATATTCTCAGGAACGAAACCTGTGAAGGGCGAAGGACACCAGATTAAGCAGAGGGAGCTGAACTGTTAAGCAGTTACGGCAGAGATCTCATGTGTAAAGATCTTCAGACTTTGTGCACAGTTCCATAGATTCATCCACCTATCTCTTTCCCAGATCATCCTGTCCCTAATTTTCCAACGTTTCTCTTTCCAGACCCTTGACCCACAAATCAAGCCAATAATTCCTGCTCATAATTCTGGATATATTCTGACCTCAGGCCACTTTTCTTTGCCCACAAAGTAGATGACCCAAGTCTTTTTCCACCATGGATGCCACAGAGCCTCTTGCACCACAGTTTACACCTGCTGCAGAGCCCTTTCTTGCCCTGGGCCCCATTAAAAGACAACTTTCCCTGTCACTAAGTAAATGGGTTGGAATGATATTCTCAAGTGTGACACATGCAGTCTCCAGAACCCGAAGAGGTCTATGACATTGTGGAAGACAGTCTCTAAGATGATCCCCAGTGATCTCTGCTTGTTGACATTCACTCCCTCGGTGTTCTCCCTTCGAGTGACTAGACTTGGTGGCTCCTTTTTTTTTCTTTTTTGTTTTTGAGGAGTCTTGCTCTGTCACCAGGCTGGAGTGTAGTGGAGGGATCTCTGCTTACTGCAACCTCTACCTCCCGGGTTCAAGTGATTCTCCTGCCTCAGCCTCCTGAGTAGCTGGGACTACAGGCGTGCACCAACATGCTCAGCTAATTTTTGTAGTTTAGTGGAGACGGGATTTCACCACAATGGCCAGGATGGTCTCAATCTCTTGACCTCGTGATCCGCCTGCCTCAGCCTCCCAAAGTGCTGGGATTACAGGCGTGAGCCACCGCGCCCAGCAGTAGCTCCTTTTTAATGAATAGAAAATGGCAGATACGATGAAATGGCGCTTCCGACATTAGGATTCAAAAAGACTATGGCTTCCATTTTGGATCTCTCTGTCTGTCTGTCTGTCTCTCATCACTAGCTGCTATGCTGCCAGGACACTCAGAACACATGGTGACTTACCAAGGTCTATCAGCAACTGCAGGAAGGAGCTTGGAAGCTCTAAGATCTAAGGCCTGCGGCAGCCATGAGAGTGAGCTTAGAAGCAGATGCTCTCAACCGATACCTTGACTGCAGCCTCATGAGAGTCTCAGGCTCCCATTCTTTCCGATCAGGTCCCTGACCTTGGCATAGAAGATCTGCTGCACTTGAGAATTCAATCTTCTTTGGAGTCTCGTCCCTTTTATAATTTGAGTTCTGGGCCTGATCCTTAGTTTTCTCTACCCTTGAGTACAGGAGATGAGTCTCTCTATAAAGATATCCCCAAGCACGTGTACTTTGCCTTATATTGGTAATTAATCATTCTGGGTCTTTCACTGTCTTTCTCCAATGAATCTAAGCACCCACCACCCCCAGCAACGGCCATCTCATTCTGCAGTCTTTACAAATGCTATTTATCCAGAACCTCTCAAGTGCTTGATGTGCTGCAGCCTCTGGAATATTAACAGCTACCTGTGTCCCCTGCCAGCTCATCACCAGCGAAAGTGTTAGCAATTGCACCCTAACTGTGTGCCGGGGGCCCCCAGGATTTTATCTACTGTTCATAATGGGGTCCTCAGAACCAGTTAGCCAGCTAGCGACACAGCTCCCAAATCCCATTTTTGAGATGGCTGTCTTAGGCCAACTAACTGCTGTTGCAGGTCAGGTTTCCTGGGAAACAGACTCGGAGGCAGAGATTTGCATGTAGGCAGTTTATTGAGTTTTAGGAACAACACCTGTGAGAAGGAAAGGCGACTGGATTGGGTGGAATGAGAAGTCAGGCTCTGATGCAGTCACACTGGAGGCTTCGGGAGATTCTATGGGGAGATCAGAAACTGGGCTGGCCCTTTGGAGTTGTCCAATCAAGGTGAGGAGGCCAGGCCTTCGTACACCCCACTGAGTCGTCTTTGGATGCAGGCTGCCCCAGCGAGGAGACCTCATCTTGGGTAATACAACTTCCTTCGGTTGAGGGCAATTCCTCTGAGAGACTCAGCTGTGAGCAGTCCGCAGCTAACACTCCTTGCAGCCAGGGAATTAAGTAACCAGGTCCCGAAGGAGAGGCTGGGAGGCATAACAACGTATCTACTCCAGTGGATACTGTTACTCTACCCCTTTAAGACATAAGTTAAACTGAGACAGAGTAGGTAAGTAATTTCCCCGCCAGGAAGTAACAGAGCCAAAGCCCATGCTCTGATGCCTCTCGAGGAGGAGGAAAAGGAAGATCCTTCCTCCATTCCTGGGATCATGGCCAAGTCAAGAAACAAGTTAGACAGATTAAGTCTGCTTTTTATATTCTAAGGTCTCCATATTGGTGCCCTTTTCTCTCTTCTTAGAGTTTTCTTCCCAGACCTTAACCTCAAAGGCATGGGGGGGAGCATTTCAGGCTTGGGAGTGGAGATGATATTGTCTAGGTGGGAGAAGGCGTGACTGGTGTGGAGGCGATGACTAGACTGCCAACAAAATGTTTTGAAAGACAAGTCGAGGCTGGGCGCGGTGGCTCACGTCTATAGTCCCAGTGCTTTGGGAGGCCGAGGCAGGCGGATTACAAGGTCAGGAGTTCAAGACCAGCCTGGGCAACATGGTGAAACCCCCGTCTCTACTAAAAATACAAAAAAATTAGCTGGGTGTGGTGGCAGGCCCCTGTGATCCCAGCTACTGAAGAGGCTGAGGCAGGAGAATCACTTGAACCCAAGAAGCGGAGGTTGTGGTGAGCCGAGACTGTGTCACTGCACTCCAGCCTGGGCAACAAAGCAAGACTCGTCTCAAAAAAAGAAAAAGGCAAGTCAAGGGAGGTAAAGTGAGATCGGGAGGCTAAGGTTTAACTCTGGGGGTTCTGAATAGTCAAGCTAAGGAATCTGAACACTGCTCAGCGCACGGTGATGAGGGAGTGGAGGGTGCTGAGTAGAAGGAGGCGGGTGAGAATGATGTCGACAGCATTGCTGGAGGAAGACTTCCTGGGTCCTGGAGCCGTGGATGGCAGAGACTGGAGGCTGGGAAGTCGGTTAGGAGGCTGTCGTGACAGTCCGAAAGGGGAGAGGGGAGAGGAAGCAGAGACGGTGAGAAGAGCAAAGAGAGAATGCTGGGCTAGGCATGCGGAGGGAAGAATGTCAGGAATCCAAGCACCTTAAAGGCGATCATCTTAGGAGATACCAACAGGACTTCAAGTGTGCCCCACAAAGGATCCCGCAGCAAAGCTCCGTAGAGACAAAAGCATTCAAGGGCTTACTATGGAAAAGGCAGCAGACATTGCTTTCCCCCTATGGAAGTGTAAGCACCCGCGTGACAACTAATACCTGAGTACAGTAGGGCACATGGGCACGTGGGTATTTGTCAATCGTGGTAAGGATTTTATTTAAGAACACCAATATGGGAATGCTGTGTGCCAGGCACTGTTCTCTATGCGAAGATCAACTCTGCCAATCATTTATTGTCATGCAACTCTGTTAGGTAGGTGCTATGGGGAAGCTGAGGTTCAGAGAGGTTAAGTAATTTGCCCAAGCTTACCCAGTATTTTAGTCAGCTTAAACTGTTATAACAAAATACCATGCACGCGTATGTTTATTGCAGCACTGATCACAATAGCAAAGACTTGGAACCAACTCAAATATTCATCAGTGATAGACTGGATAAAGAAAAGGTGGCACATATACACTGTGGAATACTATGCAGCCATAAAAAAGGATGAGTTCATGTCCTTTGCAGGGATGTGGATGAAGATGGAAACCATCATTCTCAGCAAACTAACACAGGAACAGAAAACCAAACACCGCATGTTCTCACTCATAAGTGGGAGATGAACAATGAGAATACATGGACACAGGGAGGGGAACATCACACACGAGGGCCTGTCAGGGGGTGAGGGGCTAGGGTAGGAATAGCAGGGGGTGGGGGATTGAGGAGGGATAGCATTAGGAGAAATACCTAATGTAGATGATGGGGTGATGGATGCAGCAAACCACCATGGCACGTGTATACCTATGTAACAAACCTGCACGTTCTGCATATGTACCCCTGAACTTATAGTATAATAAATAAATTTTAAAAAACACAAAATACTGTGAGGTGGGTGGCATATAAACAGACGTTGATTTCTCCCAGTTCTGGGGTCCGGAAGTCTGAGATCAGGCTGCTGGCATGGGCAAGGGCTGGTAGGGGCCTCTTCTGGGCCGCAGATTGCCCACTTCTCCTTGTATCCTTTCATGGTGGAAATCCAGCAAGGGAACTTTCTGGGTTGCTTTCATAAGGTCATCCATCCAATCACGAGGGCTCCACCCTCCTGACCTAATTATCACCCACAGGCTCCACCTCTTAACACCATCACCTTGAGGGCTAAGATTTCAGCCTAGGAATTTTTTGGGGATGCACACATTCATTCCATAACATCCAGTAAGTGGAAGAAGCAGGATTCAAACCCGGACGGTGTCTCCATATTTCACACTGCTAACCACGGTGCTCTGCCTCAGGACACTCCGTGATGCACTGTGATAAAAATGAAAGGGGGAGCCAGTGTAGCGACTCGTGACTGTAATCTCTGCAGTTTGGCAGGGCCAGATGGGAGGATCATTTGGGTTCCAGAAGTTCGAGACCAGCCTAGGCAACATAGTGAGATCCCATCTCTACAAAAATTTAAAAATAAAAAAAATGAGCTGGGCATGGTGGCCTGTGCCTGTGGTCCCAGCTACTTTGGAAGGCCAAGGTGGGAGGATCACTTGAGCCTGGGAGGTGGAGGCTACAGTGAGCAGTGATCGTGCCGCTGCACTCCAACTTGGGTGACAGAGTGACCCCCCCCCAAAAAAAAGTGGGAAAAAAGATAATAACTGCCAATTTACTGGTAAGTCCAGTTGGACTTTAAAAATTGTCAAGATTTCTAATTTTTTTTTTGAGCCTATTGCTTCCACACTTTTACTTGTGACTTCATTTTACTTTCTCCCTCACATTTTTGATTGATACTTACCTTTTGGGAAGCCACGCCCATCACTCTGTCTCAGGCTTGATCATGAGTCGGAACAGCCTGAAATAACCCGCAGTGACCAACTGTGTCTCATCTTTAGCATTAGGGGGTTATCACTTATTCTTTCCTTAAGTGCTTCCTTCTTCATATGGAAAACAACTACAGAACACCTGCCCTGTCCTGGCACTGGGCTGAAGATCAGAAATACAGAGAAGAATAAGGCTGGGCCCCTGCAGTTGAGGGGTTTGTAGTCTGAGGGACTCTGGTCACCCCGGGTCCGCGACCCAGAATTCTAAAAGCAATTGGCAATCAGGGAGGCAGAGGAACATTGGATGGCTGTTGGAAGCAGTTGGGAGTGGGAGGAGAGTTGACGGGACGGGTATGAGGAGGGGACTGGGTAGTTATGTTGTGAGGGGAAAGGTGAAATCTTGTCTTGACACACTTCTCAACCGGACCCTCAAATGCTTATCAAATGCTTATTTTCTCGAAATCTTGGAAGAAGCTCGGGCGGCGGGGGGGTGGGGGGGGAGGGCTATTTTATCGACATTTTGATATTCCATGAAAGAGTTAGATGGCTTGCTCAATGTGTGTAGAATCCTCGGTCCTCCAATTTCATCAACTACATTTCTATCTTTTTTTTTTTTTTTTTTTTGGAGACGGAGTTTCTCTCTTGTTACCCAGGCTGGAGTGCAATGGCGCGATCTCGGCTCACCGCAACCTCCGCCTCCTGGGTTCAGGCAATTCTCCTGCCTCAGCCTCCTGAGTAGCTGGGATTACAGGCACGCACCACCATGTCCAGCTAATTTTTTGTATGTTTAGTAGAGACGGGGTTTCACCATGTTGACCAGGATGGTCTCGATCTCTTAACCTCGTGATCCACCCGCCTCGGCCTCCCAAAGTGCTGGGATTACAGGCTTGAGCCACCGCGCCCGGCTACATTTCTATCTTTAAAACATGCTTCATAGAGAAAAGAGTTTCTACAACATATATCTAAGTACAAAACATACATAATAAAATGAACATTTATAAACTGCCCAACTGAATAACATTTCCAATTCTGTTGGCTGCCTGTGAACTCCTGCCTAATCCGGCCCCCTGCCTACCTCCCAGAAGTCACTGCTATCCTGAATTTTGTGTTTATCACTTCCCTGCTTTTTAGGATAGTTTTATCACACATATGTGAACCTAAACAATAGAGTATTTAGTTTGGCTTACTTTTTTAGATTTATGAAAATGGTTTCCTTCATATAGAGTCGGCTGTGACTTGCTTTTTGCATTTCACATTGTATTTCTAATATTCTTCCAAATTGCTCGGTGTAGCTGTACTTCATTTTCACAGCTGTTTACTAATTCATTCAATAAACATCGATTGGGCCCCCGTAGTATTCTATTAAGTAAATATATCACAATTTATTTATTTAGTGTCCTATCGATGAATGTTTAGGTTGTGTGCACACCTGTGTGTGTATGTGTGTGTGTGTGTGTGTGTGTTTGCCTTTATCAGTAATGCTACTGGGAACATTCTTGTACATGGATCCTGAAACATATGTGCAAGATTTTCTCAAGAGTACTGGTTTTCCAACTGGGATTCATGGTCTTTACTGGGTCATAAAATCAGTTTGATAGATTCAGTCAAGGCTTTAAAAAAAGAAAGAAAGAAACAGAGCAGAAACTGAATTCCTTTCTAAGTATTGCTCCATGAAACTTTTGTTTCAGTTATGTTTTTGTATCCTGGGTTGTGATGTGAAGGGACTTTCTTTTTTTCTTTTCTTTCTTTTTTTTTTCTGAGACCAAGTCTTGCTCTGTCACCCAGAGCTGAAGTGCAATGGCGCAATCTCAGCTCTGCCTCCTGGGTTCAAGCCACTCTCCTGCCTCAGCCTCTTAAGTAGCTGGGATTACAGACTCATGCCACCACGCCTGGCTAATGAGATTTTCTTACTACAGTTCATAGAAAAGTTTGAAAGCCCTTGCTCTAGGGTGGTGCTTCTTAAACTCTCTATGCTGAGTTTTGAAATGTTTTCCAATCTGTCACAGACTGATACTTTTGTAAAATACAATAAAAATTAACTACCTGGAAAGTGAAATTTTAAGAATTCAAAGACATACAAAATATAAACACGAATTTTTAATTATTATATTCAATACACATAAATTATCATCCAACAAGTACAGTGTGGCGGTTTTTCACAACAGACAGCATATGGAAGCAACCTGAGCGTCCACTGATGGATAAATGGATAAAGAAAGTGTGGTCAAAACATGCAATAGAATATTACTAACCCTTGGAAAGGAAGTCAATTCTGACACACGCTACAGTGTGGATGAACCTTGAGGACATGATGCCAAGTGAAATCACCCAGTCACAAAGGGACAAATACTAAATGATTTCACTTATATGAATACTTAGAGTAGTCAAAATCAGAGAGACAGAAAGTAGAATGGTGGCTGATATGGATTGGGGGAAGGGGAAGTTGTTGGTATGTGTGTTAGCCCATTCTCATGCTACTAATAATGACACACCCGAGAGTGGGAGATTTACAAAGGAAAAGAGGATTAACTGACTCACAGTTGAGCATGGCTGGGGAGGCCTCAGGAAACTTACAGTCATGGTGAAGGAGAAGCAAACACATCCTTCTTCCCATGGCAGCAGCAAGGAGAAGTTCCCAGTGATGTGGGGGAAAGCCCCTTATAAAACCATCAGATCTCGTGAGAACTCACTATTTTGAGAACAGCATGGAGATAACTGCCCCCATGACTCAATTACCTCCCACTGGGTCCCTCCCACAACATGTGGGGATTACAGGGAATTACAGTTCAAGATGAGATTTGGGTGGGGACACAGCCAAACCATATTAGTATGTAATTTCAGTTTGGGAAGATAAATGAAGTTCTAGAGATGTATGGTGGTGATGATTTGTGTCAATATGACTGTACTTAATGCCACCAAACTGTATGCTTAAAATGGTTAAAATGGTCAATTTTATGTTATGGATATTTCACTATGATTTTTGAAATGTCTAAACAAATAGAATATGTCAAGTTGCTATAAACTTTTTTACATGCTTACTCTAAACTTCTGTATTTCTTTTTTTTTTTTTTTTTTTTTTTTTGAGACGGAGTTTCGCTCTTGCTGCCCAGGCTGGAGTGCAATGGCGTGATCTCGGCTCACCGCAACCTCCGCCTCCTGGGTTCAGGCAATTCTCCTGCCTCAGCCTCCTGAGTAGCTGGGATTACAGGCACGTGCCACCACTGCCCAGCTAATTTTTAGTATTTTAGTAGAGACGGGGTTTCACCATGTTGACCAGGATGGTCTCGATCTCTCAACCTCGTGATCCACCCGCCTCAGCCTCCCAATAAACTTCTGTATTTCTAACAGATTATTCACATATCAGCACCAGGACCACACAGCATTTCAGGCTGTAAGCCTAAGAATACATCAACTGGTGTGTAGGCTAGGCGCATCTTTACTTTTACCAGACAATCTCAAATTGTTTTCCAAAGAGTCTCTTTAAATTTATACTCCCGATGGCAGGTGTATTAAGAATTTCCTCTGCTCCTCATCCTTGCCAATACTTAGAACTGTCAGAATTCTTAATGTTTACCAATCTGGTGGGTGTAAAATAGTATCTAGTTTTGGTCTTATTTGCATTTCCCTGATTATTAATAAACTTGCACATCTTTTTATATGTTTATTGACTAGTTGTGGTTTTTATTCTTTGAAAAGTCTGTTTAAATCTTTTGCTCATTTTTCTATTGGGCCGTTGGTATTTTTATTATTGATTTGTAAAAGTTTGTTTAATCAACAAGTATTTACTGAGCACCTGCTATGTGCCAGGCACTCTTGTGTATTACGTATGCAGGGAACAAAATACACCAAAATTCTTGCTGTGATTGCCTGTCACCTGCTCTCCCCAGTAGACATCATTTAGTTAAATAGATAGTATGTATGGCAATGATAAATGCTGAGGTTAAAAATAAGGCAGGAGCCAGGCATGGTGCTTACGCCTGTGATCCCAGCACTTTGGGAGGCTGAGGCAGATACCACTCCATTGTGGCTTGCCTCCTCATTTTCTTGAAAATGGATTTTGAAAGAAGTTCTTATTTTTACCGTAGTATATCAGTCTTTTATTTTATGGTTAGTCCATTTTATACCTTGTATAGAAAATCTTTCCCTGTCCCAACGTCATAAAGGAATTCTCTATTTTCTCTAAAAGTTTTAAAGTTTTGCCGTGTACGTTTTGCTTTTAATTTACACAGAATTTACTTTCGGAGATGGTATGCTATAGGGATCTATCTTTCCCCCCATGTGAATAATAAATTGTGGGCACCACTTCTTAGACAATCTATCCTTTTCCTGTGGTCTGTGACGCCGCCGCTGTCCTAAATCAGGTTTCCATATATGTGCAGGTTCGCTTTGGGGGATTCTGTTCAATTCCGTTTGTCAATGTGTTTGTCCCTGTTTCTATACCACACTCTATTATTTACTGTCACTTTATATTATGTTTTTATACGTGAAGACTTGGTTACTCTTAGGACGCCATCCTTCCATATACATTTTAGAATTAGCTGCTTGCCAAGTTCTTTGAAATCCCTATTGAGATATTAACTAGAGTTCAGTTGACATTGTAGATCAATTTGAAGAGAATTGACATCTTTTCTTTCTCTCTTTCCTTCTTTCCCTCCCTTCTCTCTCCTTCCTTCTTTCCTTCCTTCCTTCCTTCCTTCCTTTTCTTCTTTCTTTCCTTCTGTCTTTCTCTCTTTCTTCTTCTCTCGTTTTGACAGGATCTTGCTCTGACCTCCAGGCTGCAGTGCAGTGGCATAACTACAGCTCACTCCAACCTCTGCCTCCTGGGCTCAAGTGATCCTTCCACCTCGGCCTCCTGAGTGGCTGGGACTACAGGCATGCACCACCATACCCAGCTAATTTTTGTAGAGGTGGAGTTTAACCATGTTGCCCAGGCTGGTCTCAAATTCCTGGGCTCAAGAGATCTTCTTGTCTTGGCCTCGTAAAGTGCTGGGATTACGGGCATGAGCCACTGTACCTGTCAATGCTATTTTCATACTATGACATTTTATCCATGAATGTGGCTCATCTGTCCATTTACTTAAATTTTGTTTCATGTCTTTCAGTAAAGTTAGTGTTTTTTTCTTTATAAAGTTCTTCCATGTCTTGCATCATGTTTCTTCCTTAATTTCAGTTGCTTTTATAACTAGCATCTTTTTAAATTATGCACTCTAAGTGTTTATCCCTGGAGTATAGAAATGCAGTTGATTCATATTACCCATCCTCTTCATTAAACCTTTAAAAATTACAATAACTCCAACACTTTATAAAGTCTTGTGTTTTCTAAGTAAACAATTATATTCTCTGTAATAATATCAGTCTTGTTTCTTCCTTTCCAAAACTTACACATTTTACTTTTCTTCTTATATTTCACTGGATAGGACCACAAGTACAATGTTGGAAAGCAGCATTGATGTAGACATTTTTGTCTTGTTTCTGATTTTAAAAGGGATGCTTCTAACATTTCACCCTGAAGAATGATATTTGATGTAATGTTTTTTTGGTAAAAACTGTGAGATACGAAGTTTCATTATGAATCGGTGGTAAATTCTAGCAAATGCTTTTTTCTGCATCTTTTTAATGATATGGTTTTTCTCCTTGATCTGTAAATATGGTGAATTATATTAATAGCTTTTCTATTGTTACAGACCTAAGTAACAGGTCTATTGTTAAGACCTTCTATTGTTACAGACCCTTGCAGACCTAAGATTAACCCTACTTGGTTATTATATATTATCTTTTAAAATATGCTCCTGAATTCAATTTCTAAGATTTTGAGGTTTTTTTTGAGACAAAGTCTCACTCTGTCACCCAGATGGGGTGCAGTGGCAAAATCATGGCTCATTGCAACTTCTGCCTCCCAGGTTCAAGCAATTCTCCTCCCTAATAGCTGGGATTACAAGCACCCACCACAATGCTCAGCTAATTTTTGTGTTTTTAGTAGAGATGGGGTTTCACCATGTCGGCCAGGCTGGTCTCGAACTCCTGGCCTCAAGTGATCTGTCCTCCTCGGCCTCCCAAAGTGCTAGGATGACAGGCATGAGCCACCACGCCCAGTCCAGTTTTCCAGGATTTTTGTGTTTACGTGAATGAATGAGATGAACCTCTCAATTTCTTGACCAATTTTATTTTATTTTTTTTTTTTTTTTGAGACGGAGTTTCACTCTTGTTACCCAGGCTGGAGTGCAATGGCATGATCTCGGCTCACCGCAACCTCCGCCTCCTGGGTTCAGGCAATTCTCCTGCCTCAGCCTCCTGAGTAGCTGGGATTACAGGCACGCGCCACCATGCCCAGCTAATTTTTTGTATTTTTAGTAGAGATGGGGTTTCACCATGTTGACCACGATGGTCTCAGTGTCTTGACCTCGTGATCCACCCACCTCGGCCTCCCAAAGTGCTGGGATTACAGGCTTGAGCCACCGCGCCCAGCCGACCAATTTTATTTCTTTACATGCCTCTGCTGGATTTGTCACTGTTGCTAAGCACAGGTTAACCATCCATAACTCAGAAGACCCTTTTCCCTATCCTGGTCACCTAGTAGCCTTTCCACTCTGTTCTTTCCTTCTAACGTCACTGCTCTGATGTCTGAGTACCAACCACAGTGGAGGCCAAACACAGCCCCGCAGTTCAATGGTAGGCTTGAAGAGGCCAAGCCCGTGGGCCTGGCTGATTGTCAATCACCTCCCACTTCTCTTTGCTCAAAACTCACTTTGAGAAGCTCTTCCTGATTGCCAGCCTATGATCTACCCTGAAGACAGGAGTCACATCTTTTTGTCCCTCTGTTCCTAGGGCCCAGGACAACGTTTGCACAGGGCAGCTGCTCATAAACATTGGTGGAGCTGAGTTTACTCAACCCTTCTTGGCTTAGTTGACACTGATTTAAATTTTTTTTTCAAAATATTCTTCAGTGTTTATTTTATTTTATTTTTATTTTTTATTTTTTTTTTAACGTACATGTCATGCACATGCAAAAAGATGGACAGTGGCGGTTTTGCAGATAAGAATTGTGTGTATGAGGAATTTCTTTTCGTCTTTCCAGTGCAAGGCCTGCCTCACACAAGCCTAAGTCCCTTCGAAGTCTTGTCCCATTGGTGTTTTGATCCACATTCCTCCTCACACATTGACAGTTCTAGGGTTTCCCGGCCAGCCCCGCCCCTTCCTGCTTTTACCTCTGGGCTGTACCTTTGCTCCCACGGTGATTTTTTCTGTCTTCAATCCCTCCTCTTCTCATGAACTCCTCTGTCTTTATGTTTTACTGAAATAAAGTCCTTGGTGAGATTGTCCTCTCTTCCTCTCCTTTCCTCCTTCACCCACTTTTTATTTTTTTTATTTTATTTATTTTTTTTTTTTTTGAGACGGTGTTTCGCTCTTGTTACCCAGGCTGGAGTGCAATGGCGCGATCTCGGCTCACTGCAACCTCCGCCTCCTGGGCTCAGGCAATTCTCCTGCCTCAGCCTCCTGAGTAGCTGGGATTACAGGCACGCACCACCATGCCCAGCTAATTTTTTGTATTTTTAGTAGAGACGGGGTTTCACCACGTTGACCAGGATGGTCTCGATCTCTCGACCTCG